CTCCTTGGCACCATTGGGGGTTAGTCCAGGGGAGCGTTTGCAATGAGAATTACATACAGTGTATTATTGTAACAATCTCCATCTTAGCTCAGATCAGTGATTGACAACGTGCATCTGAAATATATCGCACAAAGCAATCTATAATTGAGGGGCAGATTGGTCTTCCTGCCTTCTAATTCTGGAGTGTAAATTGTATGTGGCAAAGAGGTATGTTTATATCAAAGAGAGAAGGAAAGTTTATTTCCACTGTAGCTCCGTGCTCTAACTTTGCGTGCTGTGTTGGGAAGACTTCCCGATCATATTCAATACATTACCTGTATTTATACCCCCTTTCGTTTCCAAGTGAGTTAATTAAAATGAAAAAAAAAAAAAAAAGAAACAGCTTGAAGACTAAAATGCCACAAAATGTTTGTTCATTTCATTTCTGTCCATTCCAGTGAACATACATTAGTGGGGGGGGGGATCTTTCCATTCCATCTCTTCTTCTGTATAACCTACCTTCTGCCCCTCAAACCAGACTGCTGGCGTTTTTTCATCAATGTTTAATTCCTACCTGCAATTGTTGCTTGTTTGCTTGCTTTTTCTCGTGAACCGGGGAACTTACTTTGACTGTCGTGTTGGCTTCTGTTGAGTTGTTCCCTGTCTCTATAGCAATCGCCTGCTCTGTTGCCAGGAGGGCCTCGTCAAGGGAAAACTCTGGGTGTGCTGGAAAGCTCTCAAAAGGAAGTGACACAGGCCAAATAGGAAGGTGGCAGGAGGGGCCAGGAGCCTACACGGCTCATCTTAGTCTAGAGCTGCTAAAAAAAAAAAAAAAAAAAAAGAGGTAATACAGCTCTGTATCAGAGGGAAAGATTTGGTATCAGCGGGAAAGATTTGGGCTGGAACCGTCTCGAGATCTTCCTTTGTTGTCCAATTGTGAGGACTATCACCGGCTGTCAATTAGCAATTGTTAGCAACTTTTGTGCCAAGAAATTTTAATTTCACCCTGTACCAAAGCAGGACTGTTTTTTTGTTGCTGTTTTTTTTTTTTTTTGACAAACCAACAGATCCTATTTTATAGACCAACCTTTCCCACCCTGGTGTTTTGCAACAAGAACTCCTGAAATTTCTCTGAAATGGGAATTCTGTGAGTTCTGATCCCAACACATTTAGGAATTAGCAAGATGGAGAAAGCTGCCTTGTTATTTCTAATGTTGTTCTACCATTGCCTATACTGTATTTTGATTTACACAGCACTTCATCAGACTCAAGTAATATCTACCTATACAATAGTGGCCAAAATTGTGGAAACCTTCTGGAAAAAGTATATTTTTGAGGTTTGATGGCTAATAACACCATTTTTTTTGGAATAGTACCATAAAATTATATATCAATGGAAAGATACCGTATATGCCAGCGTATAAGGTGACTTCCGTGAGCGCTAAAATTGGCGCCAAAGACGGGGGTCATCTTATACGCCGAGTCGTCTTATAAGCCGGAAATACTGGTAGTTTCCGGAGTATAAGACGACGTTCTAGGAATGCGGCCCGGGTCGCCTTGTACACTGGCATATACGATAATTTAATCAAGAATGTAATGCAACAAAGTTTGTTCAATTACCTGTACTGTATTCTATGAAAAGTTATAGCCAAATAACCAGAAAAAGGAAGCACAACTTGCTTAGGTTGATATCAGGCAGCTTTCCTTCATCTGATTGTAGCCAATGAGAGTGAGTGTTTAGAGAGCCAATCGGGTGTCATCTTGTTTTGGTAATGAGCCAATCAGATCACAGTAGGATTCAGTTATTGATGTCATGTATTGAAGCTGAGAGGAGGACATTTGTCAGTGTGTTATGTGATCAGTATCAAGTTGGTTGGATTTTTTTCTGTTCTATCATTTAGTGAGCTTGTAAAACGTAATAATGGATTTGTAATGGTGCAGAGTTGACTGGCAGAAAGCAATGTAAAATAGTATTATTAAGTGAATAAGGCTACAGTTATAAAGAAATTAGAAGAAAAATTGGTGGAAACTTAACCAAAGGTGGCATTTCTACTGTACACTTTTCCCAAAAGGTTTCCACAGTTTTGGCCACTACTGTAGGGATGTCCCAGCAGTCACACTGATGATCTGCTTAACTATCAGCGTGACTTTGGACCATAATTCTTCAATTGTAAGTTGAGAACTATCTGAAAGCATAGAGGCCTAAGAGATGGCAAGCGGTGTCAAAAGTAGAGAATAAAATACAACAATATGAGAAAAGCAGATAGTGCCATTTTGTGAGTCCAGATCAGGGGGGGGTCTTCAAACTTGGCCCTTTTATGACTTGTGGACTTCAACTCCCCAAATTCCTCAGCCAGGCACGCTGAAAGAAAGTGCCTCCAGTCCACAACTCGAAAACATAGTCTAGGAGCATCCTGTGTTGAATACTTTGATACAGTCCTTGCAAATGCTCTAGATGTGTATCTGAAATGAATCTCCTGCTCTTAGTTCAGTTCCTTCTCTGTTGTACTTATGGTTCTTTAACCTTTTGAAAGTTATTTCAATTTATATGACCCATCTCAAATTCATGATTCTGGGCAGCTAACAATAGTTAAATATATATATACATATTTTTATATTTAGCTCTTTATTAAATCTATTTAACTCTGTGACTCTTGAGCTCTCAGAATTTTGAGAAATTTCTTGGGGAAAAGATTCACATCACAGTAACTGATCAGCCTTTTAAAAAAGAGAATAATGTGAGAATGGTCATAAAATCAGGCAGTTTTATATTCCTGCTAGGAATCATATCTTAGTTGAAAGCTCATGTAAAACATTTAGAAAACAGTGAGAAAAACACCAGAACACAGTACAGATCAAGTATACCAAAATATTTTTTAATATTATTTTGCTTCCAACAAGAAAAATTAGATTGAGGACCTAGTGTAACAAAATCCCCATAGGCACTTAACTGGTTTTTCAGTTGTCAGTAAATACATGACTCAAAATAAAAGTAACAGGCATTAAATAAACCAATCCTCTACATATGTATTCAGTATTTAGTCCCAATGGTTCCTGGTAAGAGTGCTTAGGACTGCAACCACTCATTCAAGAAATTAATTATTCTGTGGAAATACAGCAAATTATAGAACAAAAATGGTTGCCAAAATAGCAGAAGAAAATCTGCAACTCCCCCAAGGGGATTACAAGAGTTAACTCAACCCATATGGGCAGACAAGAATGGGAAAGACTGGATGCAAGAAAAAGCAGAATCTTGGGAAATTATATTGTTGCTATTACCATTTTAGCCATTTTGTAAGCTACATGGCTAAAATGGGATTAAGAGGACATCAAGGCAGTTTCATGGCTGTTTAGGTTGCTGGAATTTTGTGAACTTCACCGGATTGGATCCCTGAAGACATTTCTACTTTCCTCTGAAATATACACACATTGCCTGAACCACTGGATTTTGCTTCCCTTTTATTTCCTCTATACCTCAAGATCCCTTAACATAAGCGTTTCTCAATCTTGGCAAATTGCAGATGTGTGGACCAACTCCCAGAATTCCCCAACCAGTTGGGAATTGAAATACACATATCTTCAAGTTGCCAAGGTAGAGAAGCATTGCCTTAAAATGCTGCAATTATTGTTTTACTGTCCATTTTCGATTAGGATAGAATCAAAACAAGGGACAATCTCCCTAATTTTCCACCCCAGGCCAGTAATAATTATACCTTTCTATTTAGATTTTATAGCAGCCCTGCAAGTTTGTTCAATTTTAAGGGGAAAATACTATTAAAAACCCACTGGTTGCCAGTTCCCTATATTTTGAACAGTAATAATGTGCTTGGCCAAGAAGGCAGGCAAGGAAAATAGCCAAAAGATGAAGCAACTTCCAGGTTTTCACCAGTAAATGGATCTCAGCTAACTCAATAGAAGTTACCAGCGTTTTTAGCAAGCTTAGGGTAACATTTTTGACACAAAATTACTAGTGTTAAAAATAAACCAGTCTTTCCCCCCCCTCCCCCCGCCTCCTCGAAGCTAAAATCATAGGCTCTGTCTGATCTTTCCTGACTGATTCATAGGCTTAGAAAGAAACTGGCAAGCTAGCCAAAGAATTCTGGGAGTTGGCTCAAAAGCTCTCACAGTCATTGCTTGCTTATGCTTTTTAAAGAGACAAGTGACCTACTCTGACAACAGATACAGTTAATACCTGCTGGCTCAGTGGTTAAAATGTAGTGTTTCAGGCTAATTCTGCCCACAGTCTGGATTTAAATCCTGATGGGCTCAAGGTTAACTCAGCATTCCATTCTTTCCAAGGTTGGTAAAATGAGGACCCAGATTGTTGGGGGCAACATGCTGACATTGTAAACCACTCAGAGAGAGCTGTAAGGCCCTATAGAGCAATATATAAATCAATTGTTATTGCTAATACCTGCCATGGAAAATTCCTAACCACCAATAAGACCATAAATAAAAGATGATTGAATTCCTTTTCCTGCTCAAGCAAGCAGACATAATACTTCAAGCTGAAATTCTCTGCTCAAACAGGCTGAAAAAGAAGATTCCTATTCTCTGTGATTTTCCCCCTCCTAAAAAATTGCCTATCCAGATTAAAGATGGATTAAGTTACACTCAAGCAGAAAATGCATTAGACTTAGAATTACTCCACTACAAAAACTTACTTCAGTAAGGTTGTTAAGGGGTAAATCTTGAAAGGAGATGAAGCTGCCCAATGAAAGGAAATAATCTTTTACCACAATCAGTATAAATGAATGCAGGAAGTCCTCAACCTATGACCATAATAGGGAGTGCAACTTCTCTCACAAAGTAATGCAGTTGTTAATTAAGTTGCACCCCACTTTACAACTTTTTTTTTGCCATGGTCATCAAGCAAATCCAGCTTCCCCATTGACTTTGCTTGTTGGAAGTCCCCTTAGAATAGGGATCCCCTATCCCCCCCCCCCGGCCCGTGGACCAGTACCAGGCCACGACATGCCAGCAACCGGTCTGTACAAACAAGAAAAGTCCCATCCGCAGGATGCAGGCAGCACACAAAACCACGCCCTCTCCGGTCTGCGGAAAAACCTCTCTCCATGGAACTGGTCCCTGGCGCCCAAATGATTGGGGACCTCTGCCTTAGAAGACTGCAAATGGTGATCACGTCACCCTGTTATACTGCAACCATGATAAATACATGCCGATTGCTGAATGCCCAAATTATGATCACCTCACTGCCAAGATAGTGCAATGGTCGTAAGTGCAAGAACTGATTAGCAGTCCCTTTTTTTCACAGCCTTCTTAACTCCAAAAGGTTGTTAAATGAATGGTTGTGAGTAGAGGTCTACCTGTACTAGCAGGACTGAACTCCAGGATTCCAGCCTTAACTATGGCTGTTAAAAAGATACTGGTATCTAAATAACATTCTTCTTTCTAACTGTGGCATTTCCAAGTCTGTCAGCAAAGGCATGATTTGCTGCCCTCGTGCATTTTATATTTTAAATCGTTTAGCCCGTGTGGCACATGCAAATCTGAAATTATGTAATCACAGAATTAGAAGGAACCATAGAGGTCACCTGCAGGATTCATTAGAACATCTCCTTTAGCAAAGGAGAACTTACCAAGTATTTTACAATTTGTTCTACTAGCTGATAACTTGTAACAATTAGAAAATTCCTCCTGATGACTAACCCTAATTTGAATTCCTTCCTTGTAGTTTGAACCCATTATACCAATATTGGAAGATGCTGGGACTGTCATAATTTGTCCTACAGATTCAGGTACCCTACATCCAATTAAGGGGTGCAGGAAAAAAGGCATAATTTTTAAGCCACAAACCAAAAAAAGTCTGCTGGTACACAAAACTATTACTAGAGTGGCTGGTTTAAAAAGTCACTGTCAACTCCAGCCTGAGCAGGTTAGAATAAAAAAAAAAAAGTGGTATTACCCTATTTAAATGATTTTTTAAAAAAGAGGCCTCAGATATGGGACCCAAGAAACTTGTCCATCTACACTGTTGTCCCAAACAAAGTCTTATCTGAATCCTGTTCATCATCCCCAAGTGAAAAGTCTTTGGTATCCAAATCAAGGTCTGGGATACAGTTTGTCTCCAATGACAGGCTGTGATCTGGTGAGTTGGCATCACTTTGTGCACCAAGGGCAGGACTCAGTTGCTCCCCTTCAGCCATGTAGGCCAAGAGATTGTCCAGGACTGGACGGCTACGACAAATCTTAGTCAACAGGCGGCTTCTGTGCCTCAGTTGCGTGATCAAACTGTCTTTTTCCTGGATCACATTTAACAGTTTTTGTGCATACTGTTCAGAAGACTGTAGCTTTTCCTCCAATATGGCAATTTCCCTTTGGAAGAAAAAAACAGATGGGGAAAAACAAAAAAGAACAGGTTACCTGAGGAACCATTTTATCCACCTCACATTGCCCCATCTCACCTGATCAGGCAGAAAAGGTATGTTACGGAATACTGTAGTTAAAGAATTTCAGCTGGCTGGGTCTAGGAAAAGAGCCTTCTCTGCTGCTTCCCCCACTGTCTGGAATATCCTTCCCACAGAGGACCCCACTCTCCTGATCTTTCAAGAGTCTGAAGACCTGGCTCTGCCAACTTGCAAAGGGCTCACAGCTGTGAAGATGGTCAATGCCTTGAAGCCTCTTCCTCTGCCTTTAAACTTTTTTTATCCTTCTTTTACTTGGCTCCCTTTTATTGATATATTGTATCCTCACAGGTAGTCTTCAACTTACGAACACAATAGGGGCAAGAACCCCCATTGTTAAGCAAGGCAGCCATTAAGTGAGTTGCGCCCAAATATATGGCCATTTTTGCGGTAGTCATTAAGCAAATCACAGTGATTGTTAAGGGAATCACATGGTCATTAAACAAATCCAGCTTCCCATTGACTTAACTTATCGAAGGAAGGTCAAAAATGGATGATCATGTGACCTCAGGATTCGGCAACCATCATAAATACATGCCCGAATTCTGGTCATGTGATCACAGAGATGCTGCAACAGTTCTAAGCATGAGGACTAGTTGGAAGTCACTTTTTTCAACACTGTTGTAACTTTGAACAATTGCTAAACAAATTAAGTCAAAGACTATGATTTTTATGTTTTTATACTTTTAACTGTTACACCCACCAGAGTCACTCTGAGAGCAAGATGAGCAGAATCTAAAATTAAAAAATAAAATAAAAATATATGATGGTAAAAAGGACTGGTAAAATTATGTTTAAGTCCTTTTTCCTAAGACAAAGCCACATGTCACAGAGGAAAGTTATCCATTGGAATATGATGATCGTATGCAAGATGTTAGCAGACAGGCTTGCTAGTAGGGAAGCCCTCGGTTGCCTGTGCTGTAAACCTGGAAATAATGTATTTGAAAGGATTTCTACCTGCTGCTTAATTTTTCAGCTTGCCTGAAGCACATTGGAACAATTACACAATTGCTATTCAGCAGGAAAAGATGCTGAGAATGCCTTCATATCCACAGCCAGTCCAACCTCAAACTGGCATCTCTTTTCCTATTAATCTGTTCTTGAAGTTCCAGCTGGGATAGCTATTTCCTACCATGAAATTTAGTACACATATATTTGGTTTAACAATCCAATTATTTCCTAATCCTGAGAAATGACAAATTGTTTAGCAAGATTGAGAGAGGAGAAAAGCCCCCCAGAATATATCATGCAGCAGCCACCAAAAGCTCAGAGGACCCAACTTCATACAGAAAGCCCCACGCCCAAAGAAACTGCAACGGATCTACGTGCAACGAGTTCTCTACAAAATCTTTTATTCGTTCACAAATTACAAAGTCACTCTAACGAAGATTCTAGTCCTCCTCGAGGTCAGTACCTGTCCTTGCCCTCCCGAAGCCCGAACACCGCCTGGCGCATCTCGGCATCCTTCCGGATGAGACTTTCAGCCTGGCCGTGCACCGTACGCTCCGCAGCTGCCAACCGCCGTTCCAACTCTGCAACCCGCCCGTGCAGCGCTGCCAAATGCGCGTTAGCCTCGCGAATCTGAACCGGCGTCGGCGGCGAAGATGAAGACATCATGGACGGCAACGACGACGACGTCCGGGGACGCCCCTCCCACCGCCCGCGCATCGTGGCCAATAGGAAGGCAAGTCACACCCTCCACAAAGAAACCATGCCGCGCCCTTCATTCGGACTGACCAATCAGAAGTGAAGTCACACTAATGGGTCCTGAGAGAATGACAAATGGGTCCACGCCTGCTATTACAGCCGCTTGACTGAAGCTCTGTCAGATTTACAGGCTTTAGAGCCCAGTCGGGCCTGCCTTTACGACGTCCTGCCCTAACGGCCCCAAGTAGAAACAGCACGCGCGGCGTTATTCCACTTTACCGCCCAAGCATCTACCAATGGGAATCATGCGAAGCCACACCCACAAACCAATCAATTATTTTTTTCTGACGGAACGAGCTACGCCCCCAATAGTCAATGAGGCTGCGCCTACTTTCCCCTATAATCCCGTCCCATCCTTACAAACCTCGACTTGCCATTGGCCCGTGTATAATTCTAGGCCAAGATCTCGCGAGATCAGATCCTAGTGTCCTTGGTGAAATCCCGGGATAGTTCCGCCGGTCGCCGCGGTCTGCGTCAGTCAACATGACCAATTACGGGGAGATTCTGGACGGGACGCACTGTTTCCGTAAGACCTGGCTTGCGGGGCGCCTCGGGGCCCTTACCGGTGAGAACCAAACTGAGGCGGGCCATTACCGTAGGGCTCCTCGTCCGTGTTTTATTCGGAAGCTATCCCGAGTTAACTACCAGTCCATCCGGGAATCGTGACAAAAAAGATCCCTTTCCTTGAACCGCCGTCGCTGTCGAGCTTTTCTGTGGGCTCGTCTACACAGCCTCCCTGTGCCCTTCTGCGTATTGTGCATTAAGGAGGACCTGCCCTCACAGCATAGCCTCCATCTCAACCCATCCCAGAGGGCGGCTCAGACTGGTCCTAAGCATCCCGGCGGAAAAAGCGCTTTCCCGGGAAAGAAATGGGCTTCCATGCCGAAGCTCTGCATGGTATATGGAGGGAGTTGTTGTTCCAGGCTTGCTGGGTTCCAATTGGCTTGCTGGCAGGACTACCCCTCCCATCCGTTTGCTGGGCTCGGTGGTCCTTGCACAGCAGCTGCCCAGGAAGTGGCATTCCCTTGATCATCTGTGTCCTTTCTGTGTATCTTTGGGAAACCCCTAGAAGAGCAAATGTGGGTACTGGTCATCCTCAACTTACAACAGTTCATTTAGTGACCATCCAAAGTTACAACATCACTGAAAAAAGGGATGTATGACCATTTTTCACAGTTATGACCGTTGCAGCATCCCTGTGGTCATATGATCAAAATTCAGACACTTGGCAACTGACTCATATTTATGATGGTTGCAGTGTCCCAGAGTCATGGGATCACCTTAATATCTGCAGTTATTCACTTAACAACTGTATCAAGAAAGATTATAAAATGGGGGGGGGGAAATCCCTTAACTGTTTTGCATAGCAACAGAAATTTTGGGCTTAATTATGGTCGTACGTCAAGGCCTACCTGTACACTGTAAGGTCATTGTTCTCATTGGTAAACTCCTTCATACTACATACTGATTGCAGGAGATTCACCCCCTCCCCCATCATACCTTGCAGGATAGCCTACTACTGCTGCCTTTCCCCATCACCCATGATAGCACTTGGGATTTCAGAGTAGACGAGCCATACTGCATTATGGACAGACATGGTTTTGGAAGTGTGCATGCATTAAAACATTCATACTCGCTTTGGTCTAGTGCAGTGTTTCCCAAACTTGACAATTTTAAGGCATGTGGACTTCAACTCCCAGAATTCCACAGCCAGCGTTGCTGGCTGTGGAATTCTGGGAGTTGAAGTCCTCATGCCTTAAAATTGTCAAGTTTGGGAAACACTGGTCTAATGCATGCTGGCTCAGGAATTCTGGGAGTTGAAGTCCACGAGTCATAAAAGAGCCAAGGTTGCCTACTCCTGGTCTAGTGAATAAGGCACCAGATTAGAAAGCAGGAGCCCATGAGTTAAAAGTCCCACCTTAGCCATGAAAGTCTGGGTGACTTTGGACCGGTCACACTCTCTTAGCCAACCCATCTCACAGGGTTGTCGTTGTAAGGAAAATAGGAGGAAGGTGTGTTAGATATGTCCACTGCCTTGGGTTATTTGTAAAAATAATAAAGGCAAGGCACACATAAATAAAAATAATCTTGATTTCAGCCAGGTGGGAGTGACTCCAGTTGATCTCTATTTTGTTCCTTCCATGAATGAAGAAAGATCAGTGGCAAACCTCAGATATCATACTGAAACATTTGAAAAAGTCATTGAAAGTTTACTGAAAATGTGAACTTTAAAATGAAAATGCATTGATAGCCTTTTTCATAACCTCTATATTAAAGTAGGTTATTGGCATTCACTATTAACCTTGTGAACTCTCAAACTTCCTCCTTCTGTTATATATTCAAGCTGGATAGTATTTAATATTTGTTATGTATATGTAGGGGTGTGGGTGTGGGTCTATACATACGTTGTACATAGTATGTTTAGGTGTGTGTCACGTATGTGTTTCACTTTGAGAGCGGGCAACTAAATTTCATTTTTGATATGTGCCGCTATGCCCACGATAAAAAAAAAATGACAATAAAGGTTATCTTATCTATAAACAATATATAATTTCCAAAATAGGTATTATGGTTTCTGTTAAATCCTTTAACAAATCTAATTCCACATTTTGATTAAATATACTATTATACGCAAGTTTATACATCCCAATAAAATTTATAACCAGTGTGGTATACATATATGATAAAATAAATATATTTTTCTTTACATTTGGTTTTAAGTATGTTTGGTCTCAATGTTACTTTTATATTTTGACCTTTGCAAAGGCAAAGTCTTAGATACTCTTCACAGGATAGAGTGATAGATTTTCCTTGGTGCTGAAATTCAAGAACTACAGCTTAGGAGAACATCAGATTGAGAAGGTTGCTTTAAAAAGCCTAGCCCCATTTGAGGAGAAATTGTTAGGTGCAGCCTTTGTGGTGTTACCCTGTTTTAATCCATGGTCAGTATACTAAAACAATATGATTTTATCTATTAATAATTAGATTTTGATATAGTGATGTGGATAGGCACAGTACAGGCAGTCATTAATTTATAACAGTTCATTTAGTGACCATTCAAAGTTACAATGGCCACTGAAAGTGACTTAGGACCATTTTCATACTTATGACCATTGCAACATCCCCATGATCATGTGATCAAAATTTAGATGCTTGACAACTGACTCATATTTATGATGATTGTAGTATCTTGAGGCCATGTGAACAGCATTTGCAATCTTCTGACAAGCAAAGTCAATGGGGAAGCCAGATTCACTTAACCATTTTATTAACTTAAACAACTGCACTTAACAAATGGGGCAAGAAAGTTGGACAAAACTCACTTAACAAATGTCTCATTTAGCAACAGAAATGTTGGGCTCAATTGTGGCCATAAGTTGAGAATTGCCTACATTCCTCTGTATATATGGAATTGTGTTTATGAAATTGCCAATAAAAAAAAAAATAGTTCATTATAATTGTTTACTTTCCTTATTTTAAATTAATAAAGGGTTTTGTTGTTGCTGGTATTACTAACCTCCTTGTCATCCATTTTTTTTAAATCTTCCTGTAGGTCTTATTGCCTCAACTTACCATGTAGTTCTGTACACACCAGAAACAACCCTAGAAGGACTTATGAGAGTAACCAAATCCACTGTCACTATGGGTAAGGTCTGCTTATTTGATCAGTAGCATTCAGATGCAAATCAGTACGGCTTATTGGGTTTTGGCTTAGCATATTATATGAATGAAAGCACTGTGGTTCTAAATCATGGTTGATCCTAATTCTCTTATGTGAACCGAGCCAATTAGAAATTATGGCTTAAAACAATGTGTGAAGTAATCAAGGTTTCATTTTCATTTGTATGTCATTTCTTTTAGACTGTGTTTGATTTGTACTTACATCTCAGTTTTTAAACTCAGTGTTTCAAGTTTAATTTACACATTTAAAAAAAAATAACTTATGATTAAAGCGTAAGTTAATAACATCAAGCCTAGAAGTTTAATAATTCTTAAATCCCTGTTCAAGTACTAACTTGTATTATATTTATAAGCTTATGGGTAGATTTTAGTAAATAATCATTTTAATTTGTTCTATTCAAGAGATGCTAAAATTCAGGAGGGGAGTATATCTCCTGCACAAAAATATTGGGGATAGATGCTCAGAGATTGAGCGCTGCCTTTTCAATAGTGACTTGATATGAGAACAGCCCTTAGCTGAAAACAGTAGGGCAGTGGTGGCGAACCTATAGCACGGGTGCCAGAGGCGGCACTCGGAGCCCTTTCTATGGGCACACGTTCCGTTGCCCCAGCCTTGCCTCCCTCCGCGACCCCCTCCTCTCCAGCAGCCCCCCTGAAAAAGAGACACCTCCAAGCGTGGCCCACGCAGAGCAACACAGCCAAGGACATGGCAGCCAGGCAGCAGACAAGACTCTGCCCTCACACCCCATTGTACACACTTGATGCTACAGGGCGCAGGCAGAAGGCGTGACGACCATAGCGCTGCTGGGTTGCCTGGGCGATCTGCAGTGGGCCTGGGAAGCTTTCCTTGTTTCACTGGACATGGCTTTTCTCTTTTAGCTTCTGCTCTCTTTCCTCCATAGCCACCTTAGGGGCAGTTTTTGCGGCAACATCTTGCATCAGTGCTGAGCTTCGAGACGCTCCAGAAGACCCCATGAACTACTTCATTGGAGGATGTGCATCCGGGGCAATGATAGGAGCCAAAAGTTAGTATTGGTCACACCAATGGTTTTTTTGTTTTTACGTACTCAGGATATTTTGAGATTTGAACTGAATAATTATAACATATAATCTATAGTCTATGATCTAACCAATGTTTATTTTCTCCCTCTTCAGCTAACAGTTTTGTTATCGGCAGTTCAGCTTGTGTTGGTCTTGGTGCGTTAGCAGCTTTTGTCAAGGTTGGCAGGCAGCAAGGCTGGACATTTTTGGTACTTCCTCGACAATAACTTGGACTTCCTAATTCTAAAAGCAGACGTCCTTCTCTGACTTCTTTTATCATATATAAAAGCATTGTCGTATGTACAATTGCTAGTCACTAATTGAAGCTCATGGTGTTTCCAAACGATATAAATATTTAGAAATAATTGAAGGATGTTGACATAACTTGTACATATGATAAAGTGGTGATTTCACTGAATTGTCTGTTTGAGAAGAACTTACACCCAAATAAATAATTGTGTTTGGGTAGCTTATTATTCATTTTTATGCTTAGCTTTCCCCCCTAAAAATGGCTCCCTCAGGACTGAGCTGGATGACAATACTGGAGATACTAAACTTGAAAGGGGCTTAAACTGGATTGAACCAAGGGTCCATTGATTCCGTGTTTGTTTCCAACAGGTGCTACTTCCATGTGTTTCCAGGAGACTCACAATAAGACTGGAATCTTTTTCCTTCACTTGCTTTTCCCAGTATTTAGAGCTGGGTTGCTTCTCCACGTAGGGATTTCATATAGACATAATTCCCTAACTTGGTTCCTCCCAGGTTGGCCAGAACTACCTGAATGCAGCCCTGATGAGAAAATATGGGATTTATAAATAGAAATAGAAAATTCCAGGTTCAGGACCAAGACACTTATCCATAAAGGCTCTGTAGCCATACCTATATCTATACAGTCTGCAATAAATTGTAGAAGCAAAAATGCAGAATGGTCATATAAAAAAATATATTGTCATATTCTGAAAGCTGGGTATTTCAGGCAAATTTTTGCTAGTACAGATACACCTCAACTTGTGACTTAGCAACCATTCAAAGTTACGATGGTTCTCTCTGGGGGTACTTACAATCCAGTTCCAAGGTAGCACCAACTGTCCCCCACCCACATTCAGATGACTGCATGTCAGATGCTCCCCTGGCCCTCATGGCTTTTTACAGCATCCCATGGTGATGTGACTTCATTTGGGGGCAGTTTTTCTGAAAACCAGCATTTACTTCCAGTTTTTGGAAAAACCGGCCCAGAGGAAATCTTTGGTTTCCTTAACAATCACAGTGTTCACTTAATGACCATGACAAATAAGGTTGTAGAATTAGGTCACTCACATGGGTGAACTGATTTACAACCATGATGACTTACAACTGTGATGTGCCGGCTCTGTTACAGTTGTAAATCAAGGACTATATGCTTAAGTACAATGCTCTCACCAATAGTTTCAAGCATTTATCAATCTATTAAATTCACTTAGCTGTCCATCTCATGCATGCAATTCTGGATGATATACAATAGAAACAAAACAATACAAACACATCTTTAAATAATCATTACAATCAGATAAACATGCATTTACCTCCCTCTTTGAGGAAGTGCTGGGCTGCATTAACAGGGATAGAATCAAGATCACGTGAAATGTTAATACCACTTTACAATGCCTTGATAAGGCCACACTTGGAATACTGCATCTAGTTTTGGTCACCATGATGTAAAAAAGATGCTGAGTCTCTAGAAAGAGTACAGAGAAGAGCAACAAAGATGATTAGGGGACTGGAGGCTAAAACATAAAAGGAACGGTTGCTGGAATTGGGTATGTCTAGTTTAATGAAGAGAAGGAGGAGGGGGGACATGATAGCAGTATTCCAATATCTCAGGGGCTGCCACAAAGAAAAGGGAGTCAAGCTATTCTCCAAAGCGCCTGAAGGCAGGACAAGAAGCAACAGATGGAAACTAACCAAGGAGAGAAGCAACCTAGAACAAAGAAGAAACTTCCTGACAGTTGGAACAATTAATCAATGGAACAACCTGCCTCCAGAAGCAGTGAATGCTCCAACACTGGAAGTCTTTAAGAAGAGACTGGACAGCCATTTGTCCAAAATGGTGTAGTACTTTTTACTTGAATAATGTATCTGCCACCATCTTCTTTTATTGGATAAATCTCATGTAACTTTTTCTTCTTTTAAAATATTTAAATTTTATTTACATGCCAGCCACATGATCTTAGAAGCATCTTCAGACAAGGTTGGCTCCATCTGTTAGGATGAGCACCACTCCCTAGAGTTGGAGATGATTGGACAGGGGAAACCTTTACTTTTTTACCTTTTACTAGTTTTAACTATTAGCTTTCCTGAGTATATTGCTTTATATAAATTAGATACCTATCAAAATGTGACTGACATTTGTGATTTAGCCAGTGGTATAGTCCTAGCCATTCTGGTTTATAAGCCATGGTTTGTGGCTTATCACAGTATGCAAATCTAACATTTTACTTTAACTAACATGCTGCTTCAACCCAATAGGGCCCTAAGTGGTTTATTCAACAAAGCATGATTAAACCATATCTTAACATGACAAGTGATCCCTATTTGGGGCTTTAGCAAACCCATTCAGTGTGACTTCCAAGTTTGCTTCTAAGGAAATAAAAATAGTTAACTGCAATGTGCAACAGCCTTTGTGTTGTGTATGAGATACACGTCTCTTATAATTCTGAAAAAGACCCTTCAATCTTTCTGCTCCAGTTGAATCTTTAAAGTCAGCTGCTTTAAGTCTCCATTTCCTGTTTGAAAAACTACTGCAATGTTGAAACTTTGTAATTGCTTTGGAAAAGGGTCACCATGACATACTTTTGATACGGTAGTTATGAAAATAGCACTCCCTTCTCCCTGAGCTGGAGAACACAAGGCTAGAGAAGTACAGTGGCACCTCCTTTCCTCGCAGGCTTCTGGCAATTAGCGACACCACTTGGAAGCGTGCCCCTCACATGCCATCTCTCCTGCAGCAGATTGGCATCTATTTTAGGATTTCATTTATTCAAGATGTATGACATGCGGAGGTTGGAATTTCTATGGGACATACCCTAGCAGTCATTCTGACATTGAATAAAAAGGTAAAAGATGCCTCCAATGGATTGCTGACACCAACATTATATCTCTTCTGCCTGAAATTTGGAGTCTCCTTTGCATGTGCCTTCTTTTTCTTAATTGGTACCCTGATCACTTAAAATCTTACAATTGGAAGGAGTCTGGTAATGCCTTTCCCATCTAGCAAATGTTATTAAAAATCAGGATCTTTCATGAACTGTAGGTTATACCAACATGGTCACTTTGCATCATCTGCATTTTGGGTTGAAGGGCCGATCCCTTAACTATAGTTTGAAACAATTTTTTAAAAAACTGGCTCACTGTATTATGTGGACCAGGTTAAACTCAGGACAATCTTGGCTTCCAGGCAGGTAGACAAGAATGGTTTGCAGTAATTGCAAAACTGGGTCATTTCCACATACTTTTTTTTTTTTGTCTTCATATAAACACTGGCAGGTAAATATGTGAGAAGTAGGAAGGAATCAGCTTAATCTTTCCCTAGTATGTGTACTGTGGCTCTGACAACACCTGGACTCTTACCATTACTTGACTTTTTTTACCCAGATTACAGAAACATACTCCTTTTCTCACACAAATGCAAAATTCAGGAAGTGTCAAATCGGCCAGCCATTGCACACATGACCAGGATGCTGACCAAAACAGCCGTAAATAAAACAGAGGGGTTAACTTCTATTGGCTCTGCCATCCAGTCTGGCTTTATGGCCAATCAGCCCATGGTTAATACCAGCTGAGTGTGCTTTATGAGCATAATGATTGATTTTGAAACTGCAGCCACTTACTAAAAGGGTTTTCCCCTCTCTACACAAAGTATTTAATGCACTCAGTTTGCCCTCAATATAATGTAAAAATAAAGTCAGGTGTTTGTTTTAGGGTAGTAAGCCATTGTTTAAAACCAAATTTGTTCTTGGTTGTGGCCTGGAAAAGTGACTTAGCGTAGTATGTCTTGCTGAAATTTTCAGAGATGCAAGAAAGAGCAGCTTAACAAAAAGGAGGATATTTGAAATTGAGCCAACAGCAATTACTTATCTATTACACTGATTGATTTGATCAACAAACCATACTTAAATGCCATCATTTAGCACCTTCTAACAATAGGAAATTCCCTTTGACACAGAGAATGCCTCAGCTAAGATGGTATCTTCTATTAGATGAATATCTTCCATTAGATGGCACATGAAAAAGTGTGCTTTACTCATATACCATTCCCCCCAAAAGTGATTAAATAAGTAACCTGTTCCATATATATCATAATCTAGGTAGTCTTACTGATGTTGCCTAGTTAGGTAATGAAAAATTGGCAAGTAAACAATCAAGCTCAGAGAACAGAGAGAACTTCACAGAGCTACAGATAATCAACTCTAAAGTATATTTAGCACATTCCAATATACGCTCACTATTGGTATGTGTGTACTCAGTCCGATCCCTATTCTCTGGGCAGAGCTGTTAAGGAAGAGGAAATTGCATCAGCTCTATTTGTCTTGAAAAGAGAGAGGTCTGCTGCAAGATTGAATTGGGCAAGAACCTTTGGTGTGTGGTGATAAGCAACCATAATGTAGGTGATAATCATAATGTATTTGGTGCAACTGTTCCTGCTTTCAGTGACTGCAAGCAGATACCCCCCCCTGGTGATGGTTGGGTGGCAATATAAAAAGGATCAGAAAACTGAAAGTTCTGGAGTCTTTCCAAGATGAGCTTCTGTGGAAGCAAGCAAGTCTTTTTTTGCTTGAACATGTCTGCAAATCCCAGTCCTCTTTACTCTGTGATCTGTTTCAAATTGTAGGAGGAAACTTTGCAAAATGCTCGTGTTATCAAACATTTCAAAGGAATCACTCGTTGACTTGGCTCACATGTCAGATCATAGCTGGTTAATTGTGGTTTATTGAGTAAACCACCATAGCTGAATTCACACAGCATGGCAAGCAAAAGTACGTCTTCTGTACGAACCCAGCAAGTATGGTTTGTAAACATAGATTAATCCCTTATTGTGTTGTGATGCACCCAGCTAAGTGTGGTGCAGAAAACCATGTCCCATTATATCGTTCAGCTTAGCCTGGCCAAGAAACAAACCACTGGTTCCAACCCAAAAGGGACCGACTTGCAAGAATTCTTCAAACTTTCCTCCAGCTCCACTAGCCACATTCCCATTCCTAAAGTGAAGGATGAACTTGTTAATCTTCGTTAACAAAGCAGACGATGCTCCAGCACTTGGCCCGACAGCAAGGATTTCATAAAACCGAGGAACAGCCTCGCGGCCGCCGCCATATTTTTTCCCCAAATCCGGACACTCTGTTCTGTGGCGCTGGTGTGGGCTTTTTCAATACGACCGCGGTTGTTCTTAAGAGGGTCTCAACATTTTGAAAAGAGACCCGGATGCGTAGAAACAGAGGCAGCGCTTGCTCCCCTGAACATTTGGTCTCGGACTAGGCCAATCCCATTTTATTAAAGGATGTGATCGGAGGGTCCATGCGGCTTCGGGACAGAGGCGCTCTGCTTATTCTCAGAGGCTCCTCGCCATCGCCTCCTGCGTCCTAGCGCCGCAGCTCCATTCGAGCCCTGCAATCCTCCCGGTTGCGCCAGGCGGAGGCGCGTTGGGGCCATTGCCGCGCCGCTAAGAGATCGCCCGCGATCGCCGCCCTCGTGTTCCCGCCCGCCGCGCGTGGCCAATGACGGGCCGGAATATCGGATTATTCTCCCCGCGCTAGCCAAGTAGGTTTCCCGGTCGCCAAGCAAGTGGACGAGCAACAGAAGAAAGACGTCGGCAATCGACCGTACGGCGGCTGCGGCGATCTAGCAGATCGCTCTGGAGAGCCGGAGAGGCGTCGGCTGGTCCACGTGGAAACCGCGGAGCGCAGGGCGCGACTGAACGTCTGGCAGGAAGGCACGCCGGCGGGACCCGCGAAACCCGTAGCAACCAGGCCAGCCGCGGAGCGTGATCAGCGCCCCCCCAACACGCACCCCGCTAATCTGTGTGGGGCGCCCCCTTCCCACTGTGGAAAAGGCGAAGGGAAGCCAAGCCGCGTCCCCTCTTTTCCCAGTCCCGTTGCTGCTGTGCGGAACCCCCAGGCCCTTTACACGTTTGCTAAGGCAAGTGGCGATATGCGGAGCGGAGGGCGGGGATGGGGGGGGGGACCCATGTTTCGTCCCGGGTTTTGGGAATGGGCATTGCGCGCAGCGCGGGTAACTGAATAGCCCGAGAGCGATTGTACTGGGGTGCGAAGCCAGGGCGAGACTCCATATGGAACAGGAGAGGGTGAGACTGGGTTAGGAAAAAAGGGGGCAGGTAGAGCTGTGGGGGCGCCTGCTTGCCTTTCTCCCACCAGCGATGCGAACTGTCTTCGGAGAAGCCCCGGAATGGCGAAGGCAGGCGGCACCGGAGCTGCCCCCCCCCCCCGCAAAAAAAAAAAAAACAGAATTCCTCTCCCGAGAGAAAGTAGAACTGGATTTTGCACACGCTTCCTTGAGGCACGCAGAGGAATTTCGCCCGTTCCTCTCTCCTTAGATTTAGGCCAGCCCGGCCGCTGCTGCAACTGGTTTTTTGTGTGTGTGTGTGTGGTACCCCTCTGGGGCTTCCTCTACATCCGACGCCTGTGAGCCCGGATAGCTTGACCTGCAAGGCTGGTAAGGTTTCCTATCTAACGTGGACTATTTAAGGATGTGTGTGTGTGTGTGTGTGTGTGTGTGGTGTGTGGTGTGTTTGTGCACGCGTTTCCCTTTTCGTAGTTTATGAAGGTAGGCGACTGCAGTTTCTTGCCCTCTTTCCGTTATGTCCACCTTCTTCCACCCCTTGTTAAAGACTACACGAAGAAGGTGAGCAGTGCGTGAGCAGTGCGGAATTGGATTTCTGGTCTGTCTGTTCTCATAGTGGTCAATCCAGGTGCCCAAGGAAGGCCACTAGTCTCCTAGCAGATGGCCTTTGAAAGCAGTCACCCTGCTACCATGGCTGCTAGCCATTTATCTCTCTCCCCTGCTTTCTATTAATTTGGAGCTTTAGTCCAGCCAACCCTTCGTTTCTACTCTTGACTTCCCCAACATGGTCTTTTCCAGATGCGTAAGGTTGCCACTTCCGTGATTCTTAGCCAGGTTGTAGAAATGTTGGTCTGCACACATTGTTGATGGCTCTGCAAGCTCATTCCCAGCCCAGCAAAGGAGCATCCATTGATGTTTCTCCAACTTAAGGAGACACCTCCATGCAGGTGGTTCTCAATTTACAACCAGCTTTGCAAAAGGTGCCTCGCCACTGGTCCTCATCCTTCCACATGTCACAGCATCCCCACAGTTACATGATCAAAATTCAAGTGCTTGGCAGCCAGCTTATATTTATGACAGTTTCCAGCATCTTGGGGTCACATGATCACCTTTTGCGACCTTCCCAGCTGGCTTCTGACAAGCAAAGTCAATCAGGGAAGCCGGACTCGACTAACGACCGCATGATTCACTTAACAATTGCAGTTATTCATTTAACAACTATGACAAAAAGAGCTGTACAATCAAGTGTGACTCACTTAACAACCACTTTTCTTAGCAACAGAAATTCTAGTCATAAGTTGAGGACTATCTGTATAGCTCTCAGTAGGAGAGCACCAAATTAGAGATGTTTTATCTGTTTTCCAAGGCATTTCCAGCAGTAGGAATTGATGCTCCTGGAGTGGGTGATTCCTAAGACTGAACATAGGCAACAAAGCAAATGGGGCTTCTACTGGCAGCTTGTACAACTCTTCTGATCCAACAAAATGGTCTAACTTGGGACAGATTGTGATACTTTTGGCAAGCAAAACAGGCTTTCCATCACTGAACAAACACAGTATCAGCACCTGAACAGGGACTAGAAGCCAGAAGATTTTTTTCCCTATTTTTCAAAAAGTTGCCAAGATTTGCAGGAAACTGAGCAGTGATGTAATGAATTACAGAGAAGCCAGGCTTCCCCCTCCCCTCACTTTGGGGGAAGTGGGTTTTTTTTCTCTTTCATTAACATGTACGTTATTTTTTTTTCCACACAACCATGCCCAGTTCTCAACATCTGCCAAAGCAAGTTCCGGCACTTTTCTGGGCCAGGTTTTTCAGAAGTGGTTTGTCATTGCCTCCTTCCTGGGGGTGAGAGGAAGTGATTGGCGTGAGGTCACCCAGTGGTCATTCTTGTGCCCAAGGCGAGACTAAAATTCACAGTCTATCAGTTTCTACTCTGATGCCTTAATCCAGTAGTGGCGAACCTATGGCACGGGTGCCAGAGGCGGCACTCGGAGCCCTCTCTGTGGGCACCCGTGCCACTGCCCAGCCTCGCTTCCCCCATGACCCCGTCCTCTCCAGTAGCCCCCCTGAAGGAGAGTTGCCCCTGAGCGTGGCCCACGCAGAGCAGCGCAGCCAAGGACATGGCAGCCAGGCAGCGTAGACAAGACTCTGCCCTCACATCCCATTGCGCACAGTTGATGCTGCAGGATGCGGGCAGAGGGCATGGCCGCCATAGCGCTGCTGGGCTGCCTGGGCGATCTGCGGTGGGCCCCGGAGGTGGTGAGTGGCCCTGCGGGCAGGTGGGGCAGGATGGGGGGGTGAGTGGGAGCAGGGCAGGGAGTGAAATGGGATGGGGCCAGTTTTTGGGCACTCGGTCTCTAAAGGTTCGCCATCACTGCCTTAATCATTACACCCAACTGGGTCTCGGAACAGGTTCATTAAACTTATCAAAACTACAGTAGTGGCCAAAATTGTGGAAACCTTTGGGAAAAGGGTATAGTAGAAATGCCACCTTTGGTTAAGTTTCCATCAATTTTTCTTCTAATTCCTTTATAACTGTAGCCTTGTTCACTTAATAATACTATTTTACCTCGCTTTCTGGGCAACAGTCAAGTCTTTGCACCATTACTTTAATTTTATTCCATTTTACAAGCTCACTAAATGAAAGAACACAAAAAACACCAACCAATTTGATAGCAATCATATAACACACTGACAAATGTCCTCCTCTCAGCTTCAATACATGACATCAATAATTGAATCCTACTGTGATCTCATTGGCTCATTGCCAAAACAAGATGACACCTGATTGGCTCTCTAAACACTCATGCTCATTGGCTACAATCAGATGAAGGAAAGCTACCTGATATCAACCTAAATAAGTTGTGCTTCCCTTTTCTGATTATTTGGCTATAACTTTTTATAGATTACAGTACAGATAATTGAACAAACTTTGTTGCATTATATTCTTGATTAAATTATCTTTCCATTGATATGTGATTTTATGGTACTACTCCAAAAAAAGTGATGTTCTTAGCCATCAAACCTCAAAAATACACTTTTCCCAAAAGGTTTCCACAATTTTGGCTACTACTGTACCTAGAATCCATTCTTTGGAGCTTTGTCACCAATACATTATCCACCCCTGTTCAGCTAAAATGCAGATTGTAACTGCAAACATATAGGGGCAAGAATGGGCTTTAAAAGGAGCCTCTAAAACAGTATTCCCCAATCTTGGCTCCTTTAAGACTTGTGAACTTCAACGCCCAGAATTCCCCAGCCAGCCATGCTAGCTGGGGAATTCTGAAGAGTTGAAATCCATGCGTTTTAAAGTTGCCAAGTTTGGGAAACCCTGCCCCAAATCTATGTCTCCATGTTGCCTGCCCTGACCATCAAGTCTTTTCCCATCTTCCAGGGAAGAACGCTTTCCAGCCCTGTGGACTGAAACTTTGAGCTGCAGCTGCACAGAGGCAGAGAGCCATGTGCACAGCCACTGAGTTATATTTGCTGTACTAGTAGATTTGGCTGTGTTCTGCAAACTGATACAAGGCTTTGAATCGTTCCAGTAACCAAAGATAGTCTTCCACTCTCTGAGTAGAGTTCCTGTTTGGGCTGTTTCAGTCTGACCGGGAGGGTCAGAAATTGATGCGGCGGGGGTGTGGTGTGTGTTTGTATCCAGACAGAGTGAGTTGGCCTGGTTTGGCAAAGCAGGAGTAAATGCCTGCTTCTATGTTTATTTATTTATTTTTAGAGTGGAAATATAAAGTGAGCCTTGGGCCAAGTGGGTGTGGGTGTTACATTTCAAGTCTGCTAAAGGCTGCCTTTGGATTTGCTAGTAATTAATTTTTACAAAAAGAACTGGCAAGCTCTGGCAGCTCTGCGCGTCTTATACTGTAATTTTAGATCCCAGGCACTCTCTCTCTCTCTCTCTCTGTATGTGTGTGTATGTGGATATCGTATTCACATGCTCACAAGTGCCCTTTGTACATCATTCTTTGCTGCTGAACGCCTTTCCTTTCTTTTCCACTCTACTCTACCTTACCCTACCCTACCCTACCCTACTCTACTCTACTCTCTCCCTCTCGCTTTCTGAAGCACACTGCATTCACAGCCTCCAATGGGAATATTCAGATTCTGCTTCTCAGGGTTATTGTAGAGATATGAAAAAAAATCAGAACTAGGCATTGCATTTAACTTGAAATGCCAAAAAATAAATAGCACTTGGTAGTATTCAGGATGGGGGACATGTCCTGGAGCTCCAAACTGGTTTATTATTGCAATATTTTTTAAACAATCTGGGATTCAGTTTTCAGCAAAAAAAATGACAAAGGAACTAGATTCTACTGTATAGCTTAAACCATAGAACCACACAAAATAAAGTTGCTTGTGTCCTGTGTGCAAAAAAAATTGTGGCTCTTTGGAGATTTAAGGAATATTTTCCAGTATTGCAGTGACACAATTAGTACAAGGCACTGAGTATCTCTTGCAGTCTTGGGCAATTGTTGAAAGATACTGCACTAACAAACTATTTTGTGGGTCAAAGGATGAAGTGGATAGGATCCTAATAAAATCCTTGGATATACACATAGAGCACGGGTGGGATTTGAGTGGATTTAGAGCCTCAATTGAGAGAATAGTTTCTTGTCTCAAAATGATAAGTCACAGACATTCGGTACAGTTGGAAAAAAACTCCTTGGATCATAATGAAAAAATTTGGAAGGATAGAGAACTACAGAGGTGACCTTGGAGAAGTAACTGTGTTTTCCCTCTCCTCCTTCTACACAAGAGAATTAAGGTGGGGTCAGATTAAGTTTCTTTTAATATTCTTTTTCTAGGATTAAATCATGTTCTGCTAACTG